ATTTCCACTCCAAAGGCACTTGAATACTCGAATTGTTGGCTACCAGCAAACAAACCCTAAGTGCAGCCAGTTTTGGGAAACCCGGCAGCACTGGAAGGGTCAAAACACGAGCAAAGCTCTAGATCCATCGGGCCACACTGTCGGTTGGGAGGGAAAGACGGTGTCCAGTAGTGAACTGGTTAGTACTGGTGACTTTCTTTTTCTTTTCTTTTTTTTTTTTTTAAGATTTTATTTATTTATTTGAGACAGAGAGAATGAGAGAGAGAGCACATGAGAGGGGGGAGGGTCAGAGGGAGAAGCAGGCTCCCTGCCGAGCAGGGAGCCCGATGCGGGACTCGATCCAGGGACTCCAGGATCATGACCTGAGCCGAAGGCAGTCGCCTAACCAACTGAGCCACCCAGGCGCCCAGTATTGGTGACTTTCTAATTTAAACAGTTGGAAAGTTTGAAAAAAAAAAATTAAAATACTTTCCAAGATTGAATCTGCTATCTTGGGGTAATAGTCACCTTTTATTTTTAAGAGACAACATCTTCTCATTACTTCTGGGGCCGCTGCTTTCTAGTGTGAGACCCAGGTTCTCAGCCCTGACTTCCCATTAGAATCGCCTGGAAAGGTTTGATAATAATCCCCTGCACAGACAGAGCCTCTGTCCTCCCTGATTTAGACTCTCTGTGGGTGGGACCCGGGTCCCAGCCTTGTGATCACAGGGGGGCAGCCAAGTTTGCGAACCTGGAACACAAGGAGAGTTTATCCCAAATGCAAGATCGGGCTTTCTTAGGTTCTTCTGCTGCTGGGGTGTATCCCACTGGCCACCAGCTTGTTTCCCCGCCCCCCCCCCCACTTTCACGTGAGGTGGGAGAGGAGATGGTGTCTGTGGCAAGGCAGAGTTCTGGTTCTAAATGACTCAGCACCTTGGTAATCCCAGAGCTTCAACATTTAGAAGAGAGAAATCCATTTCCACCCATCTTCTTAAGATTTACTGCCCCTTTCCTCCTTACAAATGCTTAGAGGTTGGGTTTCTTCTGTTAATCACTTGCTCTTCCAGGCATGAATGGAGAGAGCATAAATGTGAATATGGCTAGAGGTTTCGGGAACAAGTTCCAGAAATGGCAGGCCATTCAAGTGGACCCGAGCCCCGAGTGTGTCCCCTAAGTGTTGCCATCTTGTGGAGAAGGGCTCACTGGGCTGGAACTTCACGGCTGGATCCTTACCATCCTTGGGGTTTGCCTGGATTTTTTCAGCAATGATGTGTGTGTTCCTTACTCTATGCCCAGTGGTTCTCAGACAAAGCAGTTCTGCCCTTTAGAGGCAAGTGTAGATTATTTGTGGAGAGCTTGGAAGTTGTCCCAGTGATGAGGCGTGGCATGGGTGTGGCCTGCTGTGGTTGGCCAGGAACTGTCCCCTCCAGCAGAACCTGGTGACGTCCCACCAAACATTCATGTGAGTGAAGAACCTATTTACAATGATCTGAGCCTACAGGCCAATTCTGCTTTACAAATAAGCTTTTGAGCATTCTTAAAATATGCAAAAAATTTTCCAAGAAGGTGTAAAATGAGGGAGAATTTGCTTTGAAGCTTCAAACAGAGTCGTTCACTCTCTGGGGGAGAAGTCACATTAACAAAGCGTTCTTGGGTTTGAGTCTCCAAATGAAGCAAATGCATCTGTTGCTGTGTTCTGCTCATGTGTGTGGCCGCGTGATGGCTTCGTTATATAACCAGTAGGGCACTAGATTGTTTTGCTTAGTTTTTGAAACTACGTGAGTAGGTAGGATGTATCAACAAGAATTTTATTTCCTACAAAGCATTTGTAACTTAATAGGGAGCACAGGATCCGGTAAGACTGAGACCCTCATCCTCGCATTTCAAAGACTCTCTGAGGGGCTGAACTGCCCACTCGCAAGTCCCGTGCCTGGTGCCTGGGATGTGTCGGGAAATAAAACTCCTAGAAATGCTTTTGAGGGGCGCTTGGGAGCCCTTTTGGCCCGGGACTGAGTGGAGAAGGTGCTGTAGCAACCAGATTCTGGTCAGAGGACTGAGGGCGAGGGAGAGGCGTGGCCTAGCGGAGTGTAGGCGGAGCAGGGACGTGATTTGAGTGGGCGTGGTCGGGGCGGGGCCTTTCTGGCAGGTGGGTTGATTCCCCTGCCGTCTGGCCCTGGTGCCTTCGGGTTTTCGTCCACCCGCTTAGGGAAAAAGAAATTGGTCATCCCAGGTAACGACCCAGCTTCACCTGCCTTCCAAGTGACGCTGGATGAGAATATTAACCGCCTAAGCTGAGTGCTTCTCTACCTGCCCATTTTTGAAGGTGAGGCAGCCAAAATTTGTCATGATGCAATGAACGAGTTTTTTTTTTTTTTTTAAAGATGCTCTGTCGTTTGGTCCAGGAATGAAAAACTGCTCGGCAAGTCCTTTCAGAGACAACCTGAGGGTCCCCGATCCCAAGCAGAACGGTCAAGTGCCTATACCTCGCCTCATCCCAGACGCGCGCCCTGTTCCTCCTCTCTCTTACTCAGCCCGTTCTCTACAGCACGACCGGGAAGAGATAATGGCAGTAATTTTTTCACAAGGTTTTTGTGAGGATTAAAAGGCGATCTGTGTAAAACCCTTTAGCATAACCTGGCCCATAATAGGCAGCAGATGGCAGTTATTGTTGATGTGTCCACAGTCGCGAGGACCAAGGACTTCCCCATCAGTGCTAGGCAATTAAACAAATTAAGCATTTTGTGTAAGTCTAGGAATGCACTGTAAGCTCCCCTGCCTTCTCTGTGCAGTGTGTTGAGCATGACTTGACCTTCTAACCTCCAGGTCATCAGGATGAGCTTTTGTTTCAAGCGAGATGGCCGTGAGCCCTGGCAGATGTGGGGTTCCCTCCTCAAAAGTGCTCACATGATCAGTTTCTTTCTTTGGGACATTACCTTCTCAGGAGCACAGATCAGAGCTCACTGTTGCCTGTGGCCCGGGGTGTGTTTCCCCAACAATGTCACCTGCTTGCTTCTGCAAAATGACCTCTGGAATTTTTGGTTGAAGCAGTCCGCATTCCTCCACTCCCTCCAAAAAAGCTTCTCGGTTGCTCTCAAATGCTTTCGCATTTTCAGAGCCATGGAGAGGGGAAGAAGTTAGTTTGAATTACAGAGTGGGGCACTCGGGAAGCAGACTGGGGACAGGCATGGCCAAAGCCGCTTTGGGAGCCCAGAGGACGTGTCTACTTTTCTTCATGGGTCTTGCCCCTGGTACTCAGCTCAGGGATGGACATCAACTCGTCCCACCATCTGGGGAGTCTGGCTGGGGTGATTTGGGGGTACACCTTCTCCCAATCCTGAAAACGCAAACTTGCAAAAGGACCACTCTTTCGTAGCCATGATTCTAGAACCTTGGCTTTGTTCCAAGACTGTGTCAATCTTTTGTTTTTCTTTGGAAAGAGTCGGAGTCACAGGTAGCATTGAAAGAAAAGCAGTCTCTTTAATGCTGCAGCACTATTAAAAGTTCTGTATTGTACCAGGGAGGGCCAAATGCCATCACCTCGGCGAACCACCTCTCCTCTGGACTCCTGCTGCCCACCGTTAGGTTCGTCTGACTTCTCCGCCTGCCCATGTCTGTGCCATCCCCTCCACAACTAGATGGAAGCCTTTTAAGAGCAGGAACAGTGTCCATTTATCAGTGTAGCAGTGATAAGGACAATAGTCCTAACCTTTATCGAGTGTGCATCTGTGTCAGGCTTTTTTTTCTTAATTTTTAAAAATATTTATTATTATTTTTTTTTTGGAGGGAGAGAGAGCATCTTAAGCACACTCCACACCCAATGTGGAGCTGGATGAGGGGTTCAATCCCATGACCCTGAGATCATGACCTGAACCAAGATCAAGAGTCGAATGCTTAGCCGTCTGAGCCACCCAGGCGCCCGTCAGGCTCTGTCTTAAGAATTTTCTACACATCGAATTTAATCTTCTCAACAATCCTATGAGGTAGGTTCTGTTATTATTCTCCATTCACAGATGAGAAACTGAGGCATGCCCAAGGCTGCACAACCAGCACACAGCACGGGCTGATGGATTGTTGGATGAATCTGATAAGCCCCTATGGTTTATTTCTAAGAGTATTTTTTTCAGAGGGAACAATCTGTTAGTTGAATGATGAGCTTCAAAGATAATGTAGTGAGAGTCTAATAGTGGTTGAACAAAATCTGAAAACCTAGCAGTTCCTATCTAGCACCACCCATTTTAGCTGTTAAAGGAACCAAGGTGCCTTTCCGTTACGTGTTGTCAGAGGCAGCCCGCATACACCCGGACTCAGTTTCCCTCCAAGGTCCTGAGGAGGCAGGCGGCACTTTGCTGGGTCTCAGGGTTATGGCTGAGCTGTGTTGAGTTGTTCCTTACCCGGGGTACATGCCCCATCCTTCATGATGTCGGCTGCAATTGGCCATCCCCGGTAGAGCCTTGCCAGCACTCTGGGAAGTCTGAGGGTAAACTGAGGATGGGAGCTACCACCTGTGGTTAGCTGCTTACAAAGAATTCTCAGCTTGTGCATACAGAGGAGCAAATAAACTGGTACGAGTCAGCTGGTTGCTGTATGTATTTTAACATAGTTGTTGAGTTGTGATGGGACATGATTGAGGTGTTGCAACTTTTAGGCCTAAAAACTCTAAGATGACGACTTTCCCGAGCCCTCCCTGAGACCTGTGATTACAGTTAATAGGAGTAGAGACAGAATATACTATTTCTGATGAAGGCATCCCAGCTCTGTACACTTGAAGCTGAGGACCACTAACAACCAGGTGCTGAAGTAATAATAATTTACCCTTTACATCAAACCAAGTTAAATATTTTGGAGGCAAAAAACAATAGGCAGCTCCCTGAGACTGTTCTTGTTTGTGATTCATAATTTTGGTGTTATTTGCATTAACTGTTCTTCCCATTTTTCAAATGAATACACAGAGTGTCATGTTGGCTCGCATGGGTCTCTCTACACCAACGATATTTTTTAGAATTGAGAACTCCAAAAGAAGATAGTGACAAAGATGGTTTATTTCTACTTTACTTCTACTAGAAATTAAAAAAGAGAAAGTAATATGAGCCCCTCTGGCCAATGAGGGTGAAAGCTTTGTCCCAGGTTTGCTTTGTGGTAGGCAAGCCGTGGGTAAGCCGCAGAGACAAGGGTCAACAGGTTACACCAGAAGGCACCACGCTTGCAATGCATTTATCAGGAACTCATCATGACTCAGAAACCCAGTTCGTGTCCGGTTACACGTCACCGACAATGTCCTCAAAACCCAAACCATTTAACTCGGTGATAGTTTCATTTGTTCTCTGACTAGGAAGTAGTTCGAGGGACAAGGTACAAAAAAATAATAAGCATGCAGCCCTTTATTTAGTTTTGCAAAGTCTCTGCTTATAGTTCTGTATATTACATGACTGTGTTATACAAATACATTTATTTACAAAAAACACTCCAGCTGTGCAAACTCGTTGCTTTTTAAAAACATACGGGGAGTCCCCATTTCTGCCCATCCCGAGATAGAGTTTTAAAGCATGCATAAAAATTAACTTTGGTGTGGGAAAACTACTCTGTGCTGTCACATCCAGTATTTCTGATGTCTATTTATATATGTACAAAAGTTGATCAGTTGACAGAACCGTACAGAAGTGTACATGTTAAAATCCACAATGCAATAGTGTAGGTTGCCAGGTCTCTGAAAACAAAGGAAGGGGTTCGATACTGCAAAGAAAGCAACTAGAGAGAATCCCAATATGTTAAAAAAGAAAAAAAAAAAAAAGGAAAGGAAGAGAAAAAAGAGAACAAAAGAAAAGTAAAGAAAGCTCGCTTGCCTGGGCTGCAGATCATCATACCTAATTTTCATGGCAGTGCAACGGGATTGATAAACTGCCTTCTACACATGCCTCTGGGTTGGCTTGTGCAGAAGTTCACGGGCATATTGTCTAGCACACTACTTTCACACGTACAATGCTATAGTATCAAAATGTTTTTGGCAAAAAGGATCTCGAAAGGAACCATGAAGTTTTGACAAAAATAGAAATCTGTAATAAAGCTAAATAACACTAAAATAAAAGGAAATATTATAGTATCTGTTTTACAATTTGTATAGTCACACTTGTGTATTTCTCTGTTCACATCTAGTCTCCGTAATGAAAAATATTTTTGTACAAAACATACTGAAATTCTGGAATCATACATGTTTTACATGCTGAATACATCTCCCCACCCCCCACAGTCTCACACTCACCCTTCTTTCCTGCCAGCCACTCTTTTTGTAACACATGCTTACTTCATGTAACAGGTGTCAAATATAGACAGTAAACACTGTGTAATTACAACAGCAACAAAGTAAAAAAAAAAAACAAAAAACAAACGAGCTTTACTGAAATCTATTCATCCAGTATTTAGCACATACTTAGCATTAAGCCTCAAACAGTACAGCAATATGATACATTCTCTTGTGAAAACAGTTATTGAAGACTGTTGAAAAAAAAGATTTTTTTTTTTTTTTTAATGTAACTCCGACTTGTGCCTAACAGGATTTGGCCTTTAAGAGGTTTCCTTTGCTGTGGATGGGGTGGCTTTGCTTGAACTTCCATTCTGTGCCTTGTAGCTGGTGAGGCCGGGTGTATGGATGGTCCTGATGCTCTTGGCACCTTGATTCAGTGACGTGGGGGAGGCGGGGGAGGGTGGGGAGGAGGAGGAGGAGGAGGAGGGAGGGGCTGCTCGGCCGTTTTGAGTCTGCAGCGAGAATGAGAGATGGTGGCCTTTACCTGCATGAGTGAGGCTCTGAAACTTTAAGGAGCCATTAGAGACAGAGGGGATGAGGGAGGCAGAGGGGGTGGATCGTCCTGTCTGGGGGCTGAGAGGGTTAGAAGTAACCGATGGTTTAGTAGTAGGTGGAATAGGCAAGTTAGAGCTGTCGCCACTAGCAGAGGGCAGAGAACTGCTTTTCCCAGAGCTGGGAGAAAGGGCTGGAATCTTAGAAGCAGGTAAGGAGGGGAAAGTAGGCTTACAGTCCCCACCAGCTTTCTTAGCACTTCCATTAGCCTGTGAATAAAGATGGCGGGAGACAGTTTGTCAGAGAGCTGGTAACACGATTGATCCACAGGGTCTGGCAACACAGCCCTTCTGAGAATCATTAAATCACAGAGACCAAACCAAACCGAACCAGTTCAAGGCCTGAGCTAAGTCCCGTTGTGCTGTACTGGACCTAGCAGAAACCCCCAAAGTACAGAGCGCAGGATGTGCAGAAGAGGGAGAAAAAGGAAGAACAGGTGTCGTCGGTGAGAACAGGCACATCATCCCACTCCCCGTTCCCGGGTGCTAGGCTGGCCATGCGTCTGGGTGGTTACGGGGGTAGGGGTGGGGCTGGGGCATCGTGATGGACAGTTAATGTGCCTCGAATGCAATGCAGTCAGCATATCCGTTAGTACTGGTGACTTTCAGGGCAGCTCAAGGACAGGTCTGTCTCGGTTTCCCAAGGGGTTCTGATGAACCACTCCCTTCACCAAAGAAAAGCCAATGGGCCTGGCACCTTGCATTAACAGTTAAACTTTGGAGTCACAAAGTGAAAGATGTTTTATTGTGAGCATGCAAAAGCGTGGTGGAAAGTTTAACAAAGGTTTTTTTAGACTTTCTTCATGCCCCAGATCCCAGATGTCTATGTAAACCATATCTTACAAAGAAAACACAAGATTTGGTATAAACTAAGTCAGCGACTTGCTTCTTAACTGCAATAGCGTCCATCCAAAATTGGGTTTAAGGTAAAACTACCTGACGATACTGGCGGGGATCCTGCAGTTTGGACGGCTTGCCAGGCTTGTCCAGGCTTCCGGGTCTGCTCTTGGAGCTCATGGGGACTGGCATCCTGCTCGTCTGCGGGGTCCCAGCGGAGCCCTGGGGGAAGGAGCAGCAGGGGGGAAGAGAAGGAGAAGCACATGAGTGGGTTATCGCCGAGGATCTCCCGCCGTGTGCAGAGAAGGTCAACGTGAGAAGCCATAGCCCTACATGCAGGACAGATCTAGGAGACGGACATCAGGAGACACCACTGGGGTTAATTTGAAGAATCAAACAGAATAAACTGCTCCACTACTGATCAAACAGATTTTAATGTGAGTATCAGAGCAATCATTTCAACAGCAAATGACCGGCCCAGCGTCCTTGCGTTTACCCAACACCAATCAGCAACAGAGGTAAAAAGAGGATCGATTAGCTGTTAGACACCTAGTTGTTGTTTTGAAAGTGAGGGAGAAAGTGTGAGAGAAAGGGATCGTGGCGAACAGACAAAAACAAAACAAAACAAAAAACAAAACACAATGAGCCACCTGAAAGGAAGCAAGTCAATCACAAGACACCTGTTGCTAATGGTGATTATGGCAGATGTAAGAAAGCAGCTGGGTCTTTTCACTTTCCATCAGACCAAGATACCTTACGTGAAGCTGAAGGTACGGACGAGGGGGGCTCTGGGGCAGTGGGAGCTTCATCCAGAACTAGCAGGGAGCGGGGAGAGGCCTCTGGGGCTATGTGGGGTGAGCTTGCAACAGAATCTCTGTTGGAAGAGCATGAAGCATCAACCAGAGCTTTTGGACTCATTTCACTGATGGTGGTTTCAAGCTGTTTGATAGTTTGCTCCAGGCTGTCCAGCGTCCTGTAGGTATTTTTCCTAATTTCATCAGTTCTGGAAATGAGAGCTGGGCTCTCTGGACCGGGTGGCTCTGGTCTCCTAAGCATGCTTTTGGGGGTGTTTTCAGGTTGAGACCTAGTTATTTCAAATCGTTTGGCTTCCTTGTGCTGCTTCAAGGCGCCGTCCTCCTCCTCCTCCTCGTAGACCACCACCTGCAAAGTCTTCTTCCCCGTTTTGGTTCCTGTGCGAATCGCCTGAGTGAGAGCTGCCAGTTGCTTTTTAGGGAATTTGAACTTAAACTTCTTCTTGGGGTTTTCAAACTGGTCATCTGTCCCGTCGCCCTTGCTTTCTGAACTTGGAGAATCTGCTTGGCTGAACTTGCCCCACTCCCTTTTATTCACTTCCTGTCCTCCTGATGTGTCAGCCTCGGCCGACGGGCATTGTGGCTGTAACTCACGGCCAGCCTGCCGTGCCGGTCCAGGGCTGCCAGAGGCCATCTCCTCGGGGAACTTTCGGGAAGTATTGTTCTGGACCCCTGGGTCTCCATTTTCCTCTTCTTCCTCCTCCTCTATCTTTTCCTCTGTCATCATTCTCTCTAATTCCTCATCGCACTCCTCGAATATGGTCGAAAGTCTCTTATACGCGGACCGGATGTCCATGGGCTCGTCAAAGATGATGATAACTGGTTTCTTGTCCAGGCACACGACTGGCTCTTCGTTTTCAGTTCCTCCTTGTCTGGAAGTTGTCTCTTTTTTGGCATCAATATTAACCGTCTGTACATCTTCCCCCTTTTTGCTCACTATGTCTCGGACCTCCCCACTGGAGAGAACCTGGACCGCGGTTTTGGTAATCATGAAGGCAATGTTGTCAGGGGTCGCATTTTCCTCAGTGGGAGAACTTGGGGTCGACTCCCCGTCCTCGCTGAGGTTCACGTTCACATGCCGTGCCCCCTTGGGTCTCAGAACGACCTGGCCGAACTCTGTCATGGGAACCTCTTGATCTTGAGTTTTGACATCACACGGGCTCAATTCAGTTGACCTAGTGGGAGAGGGAAGGTCACACCTATCTGTATTTTCTGGTCCTTCTAGACTCATCATCTCCTTTGTCTTTCCATAATTCATCTTCTGATGCTCAGTGTCAGATATAGGGTGCTGTGGTCCTGAGCTCTTAGGTCCTTTGTTTATTTCAACTTCCGATGGACTAGTGCCAGGGTAGCTGGAGTTGACCTTAGACACATTTTTCTGGGAATAGTTTCTACTGTCTCTAAATAAACTCTTGTTGGATATGGAATTTTCCTTCTTTTGGATGTCTGTTTTGTACTCTAAGGTTCTTGATGCATCAGAAATACCATTCCCCATTGCTATTTCCCACTTAGGATGGTCAAGAGGTGCTAGAGCCCCTGCAGTAACCTGAGAGGGACAACGGAGGAGGGAAACCACACACATTAATCAGAAATGGATCTGCAAGAGAAGGTAATTAATCTGCACGGTATCATTTGGAACACAGATCTGCTAAACTCACCTTTCGGGATTCCATTTGGGGGCCATTTTCATATTCAACATCAGATTTCCGTACGTCTTCATGGAATAATTCCAAATTCTGGTAGAATAGTGTAGGACATGTTACTCCACAAAACCACATCCCCCCAAGGTGGACTATCACTAAATTGTTCCTTCAATTTAATACTTCCAAACCATGCGGGCCAAGCACATTTGTTACACACTAGTCCAAAACCTATATAGCTCTGTTTACCTTGGGTTGCTTTGTTCTCCAACTTCCAAAAATGCCCTGTGTTTGCACAAGACGGAAATCTCAATTAGCAAAGTGTTTTAAGTATTTCGAATTCTGTGAGGGAGCAGTTAAGAGAATAAAGGGACCGATTCTGTATCAACACGTTCTCTTTCCAGCATCTGATTGTGAGCCTAGCAGAATCTAACACGGGAAGAGGGGTGTGTCGCTGTCGAAAGCATAGTATCTCGGCAGGCAGAAGATTCTCACTCTAATCCAGACCTGCCACTTAACTGTGTTACCTTCACTTTTCTGGGCCTCAGTTTTCTTGCTTATAAACCGAGGAACTAGACCAGGAGATTTTTCACGTCCCTTCCAGCTAGGTCTTTCAGTACTATCTCTGCTTCTCTTATGGAAATTGTCCTATAAGGACTCTGCATTTGTTGGGTGTGGTACTTGGAGATGAAAAAATACCCCATAATTATTCCCCGGTCAAAGGACAGACTGAAAAGGGATTTGCAGTTTTTTACTTGGACTCGCCACGTAACGTGTCACAACAGCCTTCAAACTAACAATACCCAAGGCGATCATCAAATCCAAATTCAGAATGGTAATGTTGCCAAAATGTCTAAACATTTCCAAAGCAGACACGTGAGACTAAAATGATGGTCGTGACATCGTAATTCAGCTTTTAGTCTCCAAATCCTCCGACATGGAGTGAAGGTCCATTTCTGAGGCTCTCACCAAGATTCAGGGCGTGAGAAGCCAGCGGTGAGGGCCGGGTGTGGACAGTGCTTGACCAGGCAGCGTGGCCTTTTCCGGCATGTGTGTGTCTGTCCCCTCGGGCCCTGCCGTGATACTAACACTAGCCGTGTCTCATCGTTTCCCAGGCACTGCTGCCTTCTCTTCTTGTTGCTGAAGCCCGAGAGGAAGAGGCGGTGATAGATGGAACACAATCCCAAGGAAGTTGTTTGGTTAAAGCAACGACACCATAACAAAGCACAATAACCAGGCCCCGCCAAAGTCAACCCCGAGCAATCCCACCACCCTGTTACAAATGGAAAGAGCATCCATACACCTTCAAGGAGTTAACACACAAACAACAGAGTCAGTATTAATCACATGGAAACGTCGTACAGGATACAAGATACGTTAGCCACCCAACACCTTCCTCTTTAACTTGCCCTCCTCCCGGTAAGGCCTCCAAATACGTGCAACGATTCAGCTGGTGTGCTTGAACAACGTCAGGTCTAATGTGGGATTTTAAACTTGGGTTATTAAACAACTAACACATCCAGTAAAAAGGTCTGAAGAAGAATAAATGAGGTCTTGAGCCCAAACATGGAGTTAGCATACCCTGCTAGGACTCGGGTGAGAAGTTAGCCATGAAATGGACAAGGAATTGACATGTGTTGGCCTCTGTTCTGATCGGTCCCAGCCCATGCCACACCCATTGTTAAGTATTTCAAATGTCACCCAGGAACATACGTATTTTAAAACGGATGTAGTAGCAGGCATACTCTGATGAAAGCCACTAAGATAAAGATGTCACAAGGGTAGGTTTCACATGACCTGTCATTTTTGTCACTGGGCTAGAAAAAAGAATGAGTGTATCAAAGCAGGTGTATTAACTTTATCCAGGGTAGCTTGGTCACAAATGTCATGTAATCTCACAATGACATCTTAGATATGCTCTCAGATGGTCAAGACTCTGTGTAAAAGGTAAGTAAGCCTCTTAATATCTGCTTATAGGCCCTTAGATTTAGACTGTTCAGACAACTGTGTAGCAGGCTCAAAATGCATATGGGCAATAAACCAAAATCATCAGAGACATAGTTATAGGAAAATTGCATACAAGTGCAGTACTAGGCTAGCGCTTCATGACGATAGAAAATTTTAAAGAAATATTTGATTTATAGAAGAGTAGATGAATAGACCACGGAGAGGTTAATAATGATACAAATTTGGGTACAAGTCCGATACTCATGGTTATTATGAAATAGGTCAATCTACTGAGTATAATGATCTACAATAAGCACTAACGTCCCTACAAGGCTCTTACTACAGACCTGCTTATCTGATGAACTCGACTGAGATCAACGAAACCAGAAGGATATGGCTTTCTAATTGCAGGGCAAGAAATCTCATGCAACCTTTTCGCCAATTAGCAAAATTCTACGAGACAATGATTGTCTCTAGAGGGATCTTCCAGAACTTCCCGGTTCCTAGGCAGCGTTTTGGCCAGAAACAGTCCCATTAGCCCAGGCATGCCCTGTGACCCCGGGTCTCCGAGGGCCTTTCATGAGCTGGTTTTAGTAAGGCCACGTAGGGCAATCCCACAGACTGAAAGAGCAATATATTTCCAATATGGTGTCATGGGTTCAATCCAAATTAACAGGAGATTTTCTTCATGAGAAAGATTTATCAATAATAGTTTCATAACCTCTGCTGGTGCACAGAAGTTCCCCCTCACCTGGCCTGTAACAGTGTTATATGTCAGTTACGTGGCAGATGTAGTTTGCAGGAGGCCTTGCGATGGCTGTGAGACAGGGAGCAGGAGGCCAGCCTCCTTGGCAGGGCCTCATGGCTGGGAGCTATAAGCCCCAGGACTGTATCTCTTGAAGGATTATGTTAGAACAGCCCTCTGACTTGGGATCCTCTATCTCCCATCACTGAGCTTTCTTATACAGGGACTGAGGTCGCCACCTGGTGTCGCTAGTAGGCTACACGGTGGCTGATTTGTTTGACTTTATCTAGGGGATGCTAGAACCTTCGATTTCTGAAATAAACGTCCCTGGCGAAAAATGCTAGGACTTGAGTTGGTCATGATAAGCTTTCAATCCTGGTGTGTAAACAGAGGCTTCCGTCAGATAAGATGGCTCTACATCCAAAAATCTAGATGCGACTTAAAGAGTTGACATTCAATCAGGCCAACGTCCTTTCCCTTAGGTACTTAGGTAACGACAGCAAATTTTGTTTCAGAGCCTGGACATCTGTCTTGAAGCCATTAGGATGCCACAATGTGTATTAGCATTAAACCCAGACTGGACTTACTGTCTTGCAAGGTATAGTCTGAGAATGTGTAGTACTTAACAAAAATTCTGTCTGGTATTCTCGAGCATGTGTGCAAATACACATGTGTAAGTTCCCATGAGGACACACCTGTGGATGGTGGCAGGCATACGGCTCTGCCGTGTGTTTTCTTCCCAGAATCCAAGGTCTGCAGCTACTTCTGATGTAGGTGTGTTGGACCTAGAAGACCTGTTAAAACTTAGAAAAAGTGCTACACACTCGATCGATGTTTCTATTGTTTTCCTGGAGTTCTAGAAAAATCTTGCAAGGCGTACGTATACTCTTCGGTTTGGGAAGATAATGCCTAAAATGCTGCACAGACTATTGCGTGCTGTGCGCAGGAACACTGAGGTCACTGATTAATCTCTGATTAAACCTAAGGCTGTGTCTCCATTAGTTTAAAAAAAAAAAAAGGCGAGAGAAAAAAAGAGAGGGCATAGAAGGACAAACGCAGGAGTGGTGTTAGTGTCAGCGCAAGGAAAGAAGGACCATCGGCCTGGGTGGCAAACGTGTCACCACCACGTTACCTTCTTCTCCTTGGGTGGGACCGTGGCCCCCGGCCTAGTGTCTTTAACGTGACTGTCAGCCCGGCACTGCTCGGCATGACTGTTTGAATTTACATCCATAAAGGAACACTTCTGGAATGCCTGAGGGATTAAAATACCGAGGTTAACGGGGATCCAGGTGCAGGGAGGAGGAAGGAGGGAAGAGGCAGAGTCCAGAGACACGGAGACCTGAGCCCAGGCCTGCATGCAGGTCACACGGGGCCAGGGAGGCAGCGTCTGCGAAACGGGCTCCGCATTTGGGCCTCAGGCAGCAAAGCTGAATGCTGAGCCAGGGGCAAAGGCTTCCTATGTGCGCCCGGCAGGATTAATGGACAGAAGCCTTGAAAGGAATGCCCTTTCTTCCAGAACCTGATTTACATGTAGTAGGGCTTCTTGCTTTGACCTTTAAAAAATGTTGAATATGTAAATGAATTAAGACAAGAAGCTATCCTTCTTTTTTCTCGGTCATTTTCTTTCTTTTCTTCTTCTTCTTTTTTTTAACCAGCTTTCTTGAGGTCAGAGAAAAAAGGGCACAAGATATTGCAAACCTCTCAATCGTACATCAAAAGTAATCCTTACCAGTTCACTGTCTGCGGTAGTAAGGGACACCCATCCTCTGAGGGGTTCTGAAGTGCATTAGAATAAAGTGATGATGCCCTTTAGCACCCGGGGGGATTCTGAGCAGCCTCGGGGTTGCCCGAGCCTCTAGCCCTGTCCCTGAAAACTATCAGGTTTGGTTCTAGGAACCCATGCCGGCTCACGTGAACATGGGGTGAAGGAGGCCAGTTTTCAGACGGACAGAAAGCATAGACTGTGTCTCTGGGGCAGAGAGTGGGAGGGACAATACGATCGTGAAAGCAAGAAAGATGAAGGACCCCAGCGTCCAGCTTCTTGAAATCAGTGGTTCTCAACTCAACTACATGTCACCTTGTTAAAAAACAATTCTGTTACCCAGGCATCACCCAGAGAATAATTCATTCAGAGGCTCTTTTTTCTTTTTTAAAACACTCCCCCAGATAATTTGAATGTGCACCTGGGACTAAAGACCAGTTATTTAAACGAAAAAAAATCCCAAATGATTGCATCATATTTTCTTAATGTCAAGTATGCTCCTTTGGAAAGAACTCTGTAGGCAGAAAGAATAACCCATGCCCGCACCAAGTTGACCATTTCAGGACGGGTCCTAAAATACGAATGAAGGTGATGCCTGGGGCCTTGCCGGCCTGCTCTCCCCCTACTCCTCCACTCACTCCCCGTGCCTGAAGCCCTGGCTCCCCCTTGCAGTCCCTCAGACACCCCAGTCCTTGCTGGCCCTGGAGATGCCCACTAAAGCCACTCGCCATCTCCACTGGGCTGTCAGACCCTGGACTTGGGAGCCTGTGGCTTCTTCTGATGCCTGGTACCCTGGAGCAGGCAGGTGCCCCACAGTTTCATTCTGGAGGTCGCACCTGCTCCTTGTCCTGCCTCGGGGCATCGAAGTCCAGAGCCTGCGGCTGACCTTCTGGGGCAGCAGGTTGGGTCCCTGCCCCCCGCAGGAGAGCTGCCTGGCTTTGGCTAAGTTAGGCTTACAGCCCTTTGTTCACCAGTATTACCTAACCACGAATACTACAACAAGGAGCCAAATACTCCAGCCTCTGAAAACTTTCAAAGAAAGCATCCGCGGTATGTAGGCCTCAGTGGAGGGAAATGTTCTCAAGCCAAGAGCTCTAAGAAGCTGGAACAAATAGATGACTTCTGACTGGGGGCTAGTGCAGGATTATTCACGAGCCTAAAGTCTCTGCTTCTTGGATTAGTAGTGACTGCTCACCTTGCGCGGATTTAAAATCATCTAGTGCTTTGTCATCCATTTGAACCAAACTGGGCCATGATCAATTCTTACCACGCTTTGGGACAGATGCTACAATGAATGGTCCCAGAACTTGCCTCCACATCTTTGGACAAGGCCCGATCCCCCAACAACCAGCAGGCTTGTCATTGCCACTGTCCTCAGCCAGGGGGTCCTCACTGGATCACTGAGTGACGGACACCTCCACGCTCTCAACTGTTGCCTGCGTCCCTAACCTTAGCAATCTATGGTTCTTACGAATGACACTCTCTAACCATTCGGAACACCTGTCTGCAAGCTGATTGGTGGGAAGGATGTCCCAGGCCAGTTTGGGAGTTTTCGTGAGGCTCGGAAGGACTCACCCATATTCATAAATCAACCCAGCAGCCCTGTGAATCCAAACAGCCCAATTTTGGCAGTTACCACCAAGGAAGGCAAAACAGAACTGCCATGGTAGAAATGACACGGTTTGCAAGTCTCTCTACTCCACGTGAAGAATGCGGACCTGTGGGGCCTTCACAAAACCATGAGTACACTGGTGAACAGGCAACATGTTTTGGAACCCCATGTGCTTGTGGCCTGACCATCTGGCCATCCAAAGGGGGGGGAAAATCCTACAATAAGTATGGGTCAAAGTGAAATATTCTACGAACAGACTTTAGTCTGGGAATTGTGCATATGTCTCTGGTTCGAAAAGTTCTTAGAACGTACAGCCAAGGTAGATTCACAGCCATGATTTGAATGTGGGATAAGCTTTGAGTCTAGTTTCTGTACCCCATCCTTAATCCTATGGATGGACTCTGTCAATTAGTTAAAAAATAAAAATCCAAAACTAATACGTAAAGTATCATTTCTCAAACAGGCCAAAGAAAATGGGAATCATTCAACTTGTCAGAATATTTGGAAAGATGACACTGACACCGAATGCGAGCCTGGTATGGAGAGCAGAAGGCCAAAGGGCAGCCATTCGAGTATTAAAACCAAAGGATGGGACCCCACCTGAAGTGGGCCTTAGTCAGTCCTTATGAAGACAAGACAATGGCTGGTATTTCTGATCCCTGTCTTAATTGCTTGTGAAATGAAGCCGAGTATTAAGACTAAAAGCAAGGAAAGCAAATCCTCTCAGCCAGAGCTAGGAAAACTTGCAATTGATCTTCTGTATAAACTTCCCGAGCTGTTTTGTGAAATGATCATTCCTTACACATGTCATGAGGTACCCCGAGAGCCTAGTTCAGCGCCATCTTGGAAAAGTGGAAGCCAAGGCCAGAAGACGCAGCTTTGGGGGCCTAAGTCCAAAGGCTCCTGGCCAACCCTCTCTAGCTAATGAATCTGTGACAGACACAGCCAGAGAGTCCTAGATATGAAGGCAAGGAGCCATAGTCAAGTCACCTCATCCACGTACCTGGAGTTCTGCCATTATTTTGTCTCCTTCCTCTTCTTCCTCCTCATCCTTTGAGGAGGAGGTAATGACTGATGGTGGGAATGGGGTCCAGGCAGAAGCAGGCTCCTCTGGACATTTTGTGGCTCTAGCCTGGGGGCTTGGTAGAGCATCTTCACTGCTTGCCTGTGGAAGATTCAAATCACAGATACTGGCTTAACACCTGCAGGTGCTGGTGAAAAGAGGGCCAGATCATGAGAACACACGTTCCCTTACTGTCTGGTGCGTTGGCTTCCTAACTCTTCAAATCGAGTTCAAAGACGATAATATCCCCTTGCATTTAGTTTGGGTTTTTCGTTCGTACAAGTTGTCATTTTGGTGAATAGATGGAAGATTTTTAATAAAACTGTAACTACTCAACATTCGGTGCCTTTAAGAAAGGCCCGCCCATGCGACATCTCCTCAGAAATTGTATTTCACATTTAGCACAAAAGAGAGAACTTGCCAAGTGAAGTGGAAGCGGAAGCTCATCGAGCATCTTTCTGTGCAGACTCTCACACCTATGTTAGCTAATCTCACTTAGCTTTGTAAGATGGTCTTTCTTTGGCTTCCTCTTCACCCCTCATTTTCAATCTTATGCCGCCTTGCTGGGGAAGTAGCTTGTGATTTGCATTTTACATTGTTGCAGCTAGAAGTCAAGTAAGGATAAAGCTCGTAGTGCTGAGTCTAGTCCAATAACACCAGCTGACATTTTCCCATCTGTGGGGCCTTCCTGTGATGTAGCTTAGTCAATTCACTCCTTCTCTGCCTTACTACTTGTTGTGTTCTAAAGGAGAATAGAGAGAACCTTGTCTAAGGGTATCATTTGAATCCAGAGACCAGTTTACCAGTGCTTAACCCATCAGACCTTAGCGGTGGTGTTCTCCTTCCTGCTGGTGTAGACCACGTCGCCAGACCTCGTGGTGGTGAGCCCTGATCCTGGCAGGTAGCTCCGCCGAGGGGGTGGGGGAGGAGGAGGTGGGGACTTACCCCCCAGCTTGTCCAAGTCTTGTTCTGGATTTGGAGAGTCTTCTGGAAAACAGGGTATCATTGAAAAATAATATCTTTGCAAGATAACGTCCAGAACAGTGTATTTCTAGAAACTCGATGCAATCTGACTTAAACATTTCTCTAGTCTCTCCCTAGTGTGATGATTAAAGGTATGGACCCTGAAGCCTGACTGACTTGAAATCTCAGAAAGATCCTGCACAAGTTAACTAACTTCTCTCTGCCTCGGTTTTCTCATCTGTTAAATGGGTATTATTATGATCTTCTCCACTGGGGTGCTGTGAGGATGAAATAACTTAATATACGTTAAGCATTTGGAACCATGCTTACTGGCTTATTGTAAATGCAATGCAAGTACAAGCTATCCTTATTCAACAAAAAATCTGGGTATTACTTGGAGAGATGAAATATTGGAGCCTAAAGACAAATCCAGGGGTACCTGGGTGGCTCATTCAGTTAAGCAGCCGACTCTTGGTTTTGGCTCAGGTCGTGATCTCAGGGTTGTGGGACTGAGCCCCACATCGGGCTCCGCACTCAGTGTGAAGTCTATTTGTCCCTTTCCCTCTGCTCCTCCTGCTCCCTATCTCCAAAATAAATAAATAAAATCTTAAAAAAAAGACCAATCCAGAGCCCCCTGCCTAGCCTCTAAAGCCTCCGTCCCTCAAGTCTGAAAGACAGTGTGAGCAGGAGGGGTTGGAGCAGGGGATGCTAGAAGAATCTGGCCACTGAAGGGCCAGAAGGCAAGTGGGAGGCAGATGGAACAGAAAATGAAGTCAGGGAGAAAGTGGATTTTTGGTCATAGTTGTGTGATTGGAAACGGTTCTTTGCTAACAAAAGGAGGCAGTAAACACGGAGCTGCAGAAGTATAAATTAGGATAGACACCAAAGATTAGAAAATGCAGATATCTGCTTAGCGTTCTTCAGAAAACTGCCCCAAAAAGGCACTTAATAAAATTTAAACAGTGGGCCCCATTCCTGCCTTTATCAATATTCCTCACCTCTGCCCTTCACCAGCACTCAACCCAAGAGCTCACTAAAGCGGGAGAGCCAGGAATTCACGGTCCGGAGCTTCTAAGTGGGCTTTGCCCCAGCTCTCTCTAACAAGGTGCCCTCCCTGGAATGTGTTTGTCTCTTCTGAGCAACCTAGTCAGAGCTGTTTGAGGAGTTTCTACTTAAAATTATAATAAGGATGTGGGTAAATCATCGGGGTGAAATGCCCACGATTACGTGTAGTGGCCGGTTTTAGTCTCATGCCTGAGGGTGCCGGTTACAAGGCCCAAGCAGCACTGGGCCACCTGGCTGGTGCCTAAGCCAGCAGCCCAGCCTGGGGATGGCCTCGTCAGCTTTGTGGGTCCCTCCAGGGACTGGCACAGGCTGATGGGCCCTGCAGGTGGGCCCAGGTCTCCTCTCCTGTGTAATGACAAAGACTGCCTCTTTGTTTTTGTTGTTGTTGTTGTTGGTTTTGGTTTTGTTTTGTTTTTTAAAGATTTTATTTATTTATTTGCGAGAGAGAGAAATATCGAGAGAGAGAGAGAGAGAGCACGAGCAGGGGGGAGAGGGAGAAGCAGGCTCACTGCTGAACAGGGAGCCCGATGCAGACTCGATCCTGGGATCATGACCTGAGCTGAAGGCCGACGCTTAACCTAACACTGAGCCACCCAGGTGCCCCCAAAAGACTGCCTCTTTGACCAGCTTTGGTGAGGCTCCTCTGAGCCCTTTTCTCCATTAGGCTTTGCCCTTGGTCGGCTCAGCCCAGTTTTAGCAAAGAATTCTACTAAGTCAATATAGCAAGAATCCCCCGTTCTTGACATCTGACTGGGTTCTTCATTCCCCACCCTGGACATCCAAGCCTTTAGCAAGAACCTCCCTATCCTTGATATGCTGCATTCAGAGTCGAGTTCAATTTCTCACCCACTGCAGTGGTCTTGAATCAAGTCTTCCTTGCTCTTTTTAACACATAGCTCTGAGAATAATTTTTCTTTAACAAAGAATGAGGCTATAGTCCCTAAAACTTTCTACTGATGTTTAGGAGCTCTTGGTCCATCCCCTTTATCAAAGTAGTCAGCGCACACAAGAGGAAATACAAAAAAGTTTTTTTTTAAACCTTCAGTGTAGAATTTTACCTCATTAGTAAACACAAATAAAAAAAATAACATCCATGCCAAATAAGTAAAAATGATAGAAACCAACATTTGCAGGTAACGGCTTGTACCCTTATGCATTTCTGGTAGCCTGTACATTAGTGGACTCTTTCTGACAAGAAATCAGGCCACGTGTTAAAAAAACAAAAAACAAGGGCATCTGGCTGGCTCCGTCAGTGGAGCGTGCGACTCTTGATCTCAGGGTCGTGAGTTCAAGCCCCACGCTGGGTATAGGGTTTACTTAAAAATAAAAACAAAAAGAACAACAAGAACATTTTAACTGAGTGAAAAATACTTTGGAGACTAATTTTTTAAAAATACTTCATGCAATTTTTTTTTTAATCTGAACGAATAAGAAGCCCAAACGCGGTAAATTAACAAAATGTAGTGTTATTATTTTTGCTGTATAATCATGGAGAAGGAACAGTTCTAATTTATAACGATTTTTTATAATTTACTTGTGATTCTAAAACATCCAGGGACTATCTGACAAAATTAATAATGGGAAGAGCCAGATTAGGCCAGATAGAAATGGAAGGGGGTAGATCCTTACCCATGAGAAATTCCTCACGGGAACTCTGGGAGAAAAGCTGTCTTGGGGAGAGCAGAGCCGCCCCTCCCAGGCCCCCTCCTTCCCGGGCACATGCTGCTTCACCCTCCAGGTCCCTAAACAGGCCTCACACAGCCAGCAGGTGGGGAAAGGAGGTAGAAAAACTTAGCATGGACTGATGGGGAGAGTTTCCATGAGTGGGATTTTAGAGCAGCTTTGGGGAAGGAAAACCTGAGACAGGGTTTCAGTGGTTATAAACTGTATCTACTTTCATGTTCCTGGACATGCAAGTTAGGATGGCGATTCCTTTTCAAATTAATTTTAGTTCCTGGACGAGGCGTCAGTGAATGTGGCTCCGAGACACTGGGCTGCAAGTAAAATCGTGTCTTTGTACACAGCTCTGAAATCAGAGTAAGGCGTGGTGCTTGTTGGTTGGAGATTTAGTAGGCTGGGTTTTCTAACAGTTATTTTATGTTATTAGTGACACATCGATGCTTAACTTCCATAGTTTAGTTGGTTCAATATACAATCTAATAATTTTGATTTAAAAAATGCCATTTTGCCTTATGATCTAATATCCCCTTGGGAGCTCATAAAGGCTGGCTTTTTCTTCCTGCAGCGCATGAAAAGCTCTTACTTTAAATGCAGCCCTCATAGTCTCCCAGCTGGTGCTGTGAAGTGTCATAAATTCATAGGAAATGTAGAAGCTAGGGATCTAAATTCTACCTTACTGGGCACTACTCTAGTGCCCTAACGCAGAACACAGTTTCCCTACTATGGTTTTGGTGAAAAAGTAAGAGTGAGAATCTAGTGATACCTGAGGATTTGTGCTTCCAGGTTCACAATTTTATAAAATTCTTGAGAAGTGAGGGATTGGTCCTGTCGGCCAGCATGTGCTTAAGTGGGCAGCCAGCCTGCTCAGCTGGGTGAGCGCCTCACCTGAAAGTTCGAGCTTGTCTCCTGGGGCATCACCCTTTGTTTGCGGGCCCAAGGCTGGTGGCATCTCCAGGTTTGGAATTGACTTCATGATATTGGCCTGAGCTTCTTCTAGTAGCTTCTCAAACTCTTTCCCGTTATAGTGGTCCAGATTTTGCCTTTTCTCTTCCCATTTCCTTTCTGCTTTCTGAAAGAAAATTGCAAGTGAAGAAAGTTTAGCAACCAGAGGGAAAGCTAATTAGGGATTTCATGTCGGTGTAGGGGGAGGTGTGACACAGGTAAAATGTTGATAAAGTAAGGCTCTGGTGTGTGTGCTGAGGGACATTTTTGTACCTCAGACAAACCTGCCTCTGTGCTCGCTGCCACGTAAGCCCAAGTGATTGATATTCATTCACAGAGAAGCAAGCTCAGAAACCCAAATTCATTCATTAACTGATTATTGAGCATTTATTGCTACTTTCCCAATAGTAGTAAAAAGGACACAGGGATATGCTTTCAAAAGTATGCATCCCATAACCAAGTTTCTGTTCATGAAACTGAGTTTTCATCATAGAGGAGATGTGCAAACGGACAAGAACAAAACCAAAACATTCATTGGGAACAAAGACTCCTACACCTCCAGTCCACGTTTGCCTAAGAATTGCTATATGGCCTCTGGGTCAAACGTTCTTACATGTAAAATGGGGGTTATTTAGATTACCTCTAAGCTCCACCAAGCTCTACAGTAGGGAGAAATACATGAAATGCATTTTTGAATACCCGTACATTTTTGAAAAGAACATTTTCCTGTGATTCTAGGGCAGCACAGGAATCATTCCAGATGGGCCGCGGGGAAATCTGCAGCAGGATTACTAGGACCCCACAATGTAAAAATGGGAAAAGACAGAGGAGATCGCTTTCTTAGCACACTTTACACAGGAGATGCGAGGGCCCAGGGAGACGAGGATTTGTCCAAAGAGTCACGCTGTGTAAACCCGAGTCTCCACCATCACCATCCTTACCAACCCCTCCTCCGCTTTCTTTGTCCTTCCTAGCATTTATTATTGTCTGGCATACACTGGTTCTCGATCTCTCCCTACAAGCAGGTACGTTTCTTGAAAGCATGGGCTTTGTCCCTTCAGTTCACTGCCTGCCCCAGAGCCTGTAGGGACCTGGTTGTGAAGGAAGCTCCCCCTCATTCGTCAGCAATGGAGTGGGCAGAAAGGCCCAGGCCTCCTTTCTGCGGATTGGGGCATTTTTAGAGATGACTCGCAAGTCGAAACTTAAAATACACACACATCAATGATAACTGTGCCCAGTGGGTTCTCAATAGATATTTGTTAAATAAACGGGTCGTCCTACTGACATCATTTCCATATGGACACATATGAAGGGGCAGATCCACTCATTCTCAGGAGGAAACAGGTTTCCAGGCTGCGCCCCTGCCCTGCGGGGCAGGAGAGGATCGAATCGTTGTCAGGCAATCACATTTCACCCCTCCTGTGAGATGCATTTTGTGAGTGGCTGGCTTGGATTAGGGCACAGCTCTGACTTGGGAGCAGGCAGAAGCTACCTAGCGTTCAGAGGCCCGGTTGCCAGGACCGCGGCTGTGGCCATTTGAAGAGGTTATTTTTCTCTTGAGACCTGCATTATCCACTGCCGACCTGTGAGAGAGGCAGGAGGGTCAGGGCCAGGGTCTGGGGTAAGGAGTGGAGGACACAAGGGGGCAGGAGGAAGGGGGAAGCAAGCTGTGCTCCTCGGGCATGGACACCAGCTCTTAGATAAAAAGAATCTTTAAAAACATGGCCTGTTTTCTGTTCTGTGACATTAAGGCCTAGTTTTCTCTTTCCATTTTGACAGTCTCTGCCTTTCATCCCAAGACTAGGCTAACTACTTCCTATCCCGCACCCTTAATCCTAGACCCACCTCCTTAATCAAGTCTGTACATTGTTTCAGAGTGATTTTCTCAAGATGCTATTTTTTATCACCGGTCCAAGCAGCAACATTTTTCTGGATGCCCACACCATGACCCTGAGGCATCTCAGACTGCCCTGCAGCTTGTCTTGCCAGGTTCCTCTGCCCCGTCTTGTTCCCATTACACAGGTTTCCTCGTGTCTCCCTTTGCTCCAGCTGTCCTCTGCCCCAGCCCACCCTCACCACCCTGCTCGGCTCACCCAGAGTCTACTGATTTTCCGAGACCACTGGCAAACCCTCTGCGGGCCTGCATGCACCAAGGGTAAGCCTGGGCCTGCACGCGCTGGCTGGGGAGCGCTGACTCACACTTCTCCCCAACTGCACGTTCCCTGACATCCTGCTGTAACTCAAAATCAGTGATCATGGGAGACTACACCACAGAAATGGGCAAATTCTACAAATCAGGGCGTTTTCCCCCCCAGAGAGCCGGTGGTTAAACACTTCCCAGCATAGCGGGGCCTCACCTTCCTACCCTTCTTGAAATCCGATGACCTTTCTCTTAATCTGGCCACTGAAACCCATTTATAGGGCTATCTTTGAGATAAATGTTTATATATATTTGACAAAAATCTATCTTTGATACATATACACATATATATATTATCTTTACAATCAGACGATAAATCTTCAAGGGAAAGGACCAGGTGTTATTCCTTTATGGGGCTACGAGAAAGGGAAATAGGACCCTACCTCAATAGACACTGCCCTATTCTTGGCACTCACGCTGTGGATTTCCTCGATGAACAAGCTCTGCATGGTGGAACCGTTCATGGGCGTCTGTGGGGACTGCGGAGCCTGAGCGGACGGCAGAGCGGAGGTCCCTTCCTGAGTGGTGGCTGGAGGGCTGGCCGGGTGGGGACCGGTCCCTGCAGGCAGGTGGTGAGCCGGGTTCAGCAGGGCGGCCGAGAGCTGGGAGGGCTGGATGAGCACAGGAGAGCTCTGTGCGTGGTGAATGGTCAAGGGCACCACTTCCGACTTCATGTCGCCGGGGACTCCTGCCACGGGGAGGGGCTGGCCTGAGGCATGGGGTGCCTCCTCCTGGTTCTTCAGGACTTCGGCGGCCGTGGCCTTCTCCATCGCCACATACTGAGCGGCCTGGGACGCATCTGTACCTTTCAAGAGCCCGTCAGTGACGTGTCTGGGAGAAACCAGGCACAGCAACATTAACTCTTAAAGTGGGTAGCTTGCATTTTATTTTTATGGCATGAACTCGAACGCTGTGTTATCCCAAACCCAGGCAAGCTATTCTTGCAAAATTAAGATGTTCAAAAACCCAGAGTTGCAGCTCAGGGTTGGGGGTTTCCATAGCAACTTCCTAATGCCCTCCAGCTGCCTCCCAGCTGGCTCTGATAGCTGTGTTCTCAGTCCTTCCCTCGCGAGATGGTCTGTGTCTTGCTTTCCACTAGCATGGTCTTGCCCAGCCGGATGCCGTCCTGTCACTATTTGTGTGGTGGCGCACAGTGAACATGGGACTCTAACAATAACTCCTGTACCCAATCCTGGCTGGACAGCCCCTCAGAGAGGCTCACTTCCAACCCCCAAAACTTCCTGAGCCCTCCACGTTCTCCTCTTTGCACTGCTGAACCCCCGGGGAGGGCAGTTCATACAACTGAGCCTTGAAAAGCGTGGGGCTTAGGGGTCCTGACCCCCTACACAGTTGAAAATCCACGTGGAACTTTCGTTGCCCCCAAAAATCTTAACTGCGAATAGCCTACTGTTGACGAGAAGCCTTACCTACATCATAAACAGTTGATTCACATATATTTTGTATGTTATCACTGTATTCTTACAATAAAGAGAGAAAAGAAAATATTAAGAAAATCACAAGGAAAAGAAAACACATTTAGAGTACTGCCCTGTATTTATCGAAAAAAATTCCTACACAAGCAGACCCGTGCAGTTCAAACCCGAGTTGTTCAAGGGGCAACTGTGTTCTAATTCCTTGTGCCTTCTCATCATGTCGCTCAGCCTTGTGTGATCAGGCTTCCCCACCTGGACTCAACCTCGCCTTTCTGCAAGGTCAACAGTGACTTCAAATCTAGCAGCTGGGTTGGTCCTCATCCTCCTCTGCTTTTTGGGGTCATTTGATGCTATTTGTCGATTTCAAAGGACACGGCTTTGGGGTCAGCCAGACCTGTGCCTGAATGTCATCAGTCCTGCCATGTTCTGGCTATGATGTTGGGAACCTTACCTTTCTGAGCCTCAGACAGTTTGCTATAGAGTGTAATAATGATTAGAATGAGGGCAGGAGGATGAGAATGCTTCCTAATGCTTTCCTCGGGGGTTACTGTTAGGATCAATGTAGTTATATGTCAGACAATGTCAAACTTGACCGATAATCTTTAATCGGTGCCTCGTTTTCTTATTAAAATGTTCTCTCTCTCTTTTTTGTTTTGAAAAGAAGACATTGCATTTAGTGACTTTCCTCTGCTACTCACTTCTGTTTCTTTTACCGACGCTGGATCAGTGAAACAGATCCCCAAGGATCTGTTCCCCCCTTCCTGTCTCATGCCCTCTCCTTCACTGCCACCAGTCATCTTCATGAAGATTTAGAACTTCCAGTTCTAAATCTCTCCTCCCACCTGCCACGCCCCCCCGCCCCCGAGTTAGGCAGCACCCCGTCCCTGATGCCACCTCTTGAACTTCGGAGCGCATTTCTCCTTCTAACTGAAGGCATCTGTGCTTCTGAAGTGAAGATGGCTAGTAAAATACTGTGATCCATTCTTCAACTTTAAAGTGTTCCTGAAAAGAACCACCTTCTAATGATTTTTTTTAAAGAAATGTTTACTAAGTTTACTAATCTTAAGCTCTAGGCTGTGCCCATCGCAGCCAGCCTGTGTTGAAGAATCAGGACCTCCAGTCATAGTGCAAAAGAATATTTGGGGTGGAAGGAGTCGCGGTCTCTCCTCAGGACATTTCCCCACCCCCAGGGGAGGCCCGGTTACCTCCGCAACATGGTCAAGGTGTCGGTCATGCTCCGCACCCTCTGCAGGAGACTGTCCAGCCTGTGGGGCTCCTCCTTCAGGAACCGCACGGCCTCCACTTCTATGCGCAAGATGGCTCGCATCTTGTTTTGTAAGGTTGGAAATTCTCCTGCAGGCCAAGAACAGATGGTGAGTTGTAGGAGAAGAAGCAGAACGAGGAGCCCCCACCCCGCATGCACACTGGATAGGCTTGGAGGCGTGGGGTTCACTGGCCACCATGCTCCACACACATCTTCAGGAGGCAGACACCTGTCAGACAGAGCTGGGTTCCAGGTGACCTCGGGCAAGGGCAGGGGTCCTCTGTACCTCATTTCCTGTCTGCATATTTGGGATAAAGGCAACTATCCCTTAGGGTCATTTGTAATGAATTTGGCACCTGGCACATTGAAAGAGCCCAGTGGAGAAAAACTGTCATTAGTATCGTTTAATCCTAAGTCTCCCAGCACCCACTAAAATAGAAGGTCCAAGAAGACAGGGATATTTGCCTATTTCGTTCAGTGATGCATCCCAAGTGCCTAGAACAGCGCTCGGCACACATAGGCGCCTGATGACTACTTGCACGCACACATGCATAAATGAATGAATCCTTCACTACTGGACAGATTTTTAAACACCCCAGGAGACAGGCTTCAGACTTCTCCCTTCAAGGAGGAGGCTCACCTTTCAGGGTAGCTACAGCTTCTCCCACTTGCCGCAGGAGGAAGGCCCCGTCTTCCACGTCTTTTAGAGTGACCGCTCGGCTGGCTGATGTAGAGTCCTTCTTCAAGTCTTCAACAAAGTCTTCCAGCTCACTGTGAGGGGGAGGGCAGAAGCAGACCAGCAGATGGGAGTGAACACCGAGGTCCCCAGAAAGGACAGCTGCAGTAGCAAAGGGCTCATCCCAGCCTCCCCTGGCCTTCTGCTAAGATGGCAGCTCATGAGGGTAGCTTGGTTTGGCTTAAATATTCTGCTGAGGTGTAAGGCAGGTGCAAGGAAGTTTCCCCAGGCCCTGTTCATGGGGACGGCCAGGTTGGCCAGAGGGAAGATGGTGGCTAGTTGACAAAGGGCCCGTTCTTTCTTTTCGGTGGGGATGCTGCTGCCAACTGAGGGAGGGGTATATGCACTTTGTAACGTGACAGAGGGGATGGAGTGTGCGCGCTGGAGCGGGGAAAAAGGAAGGGTCCTGGTCCGGTTATATCGGCCTTCTAAACTTGGAACTTGATATTTGGGGCTGGATAATTCTTTCTTGTAGGGGCCTGTCCTGTACATTGTAGGGTGTTCAGCAGCACCCCGGCCCTCTACCCACCAGACGCTAATAGCACCTGCCCCGAGCCTGTGACAAACAAGGATGTCTCCAGACATTGGGACATGTCCGTCGGGGGGGGGGGAGGGGAGGAAAGCAAACTTGCCCCTGGTCAAGAACCTCTGGCTTACACTGAAGATCTCATCAGTAAGGACTGACTTTCTGCTCTAAGCTACAGAGGTTAGATGATCACAGATCTGATTTCTGGTGTGTATGTGTGTGTAAGAGAGAGGGTGTGAGAGAAACGTGCACGCATATGCGCGTACACACACATACACACACACACACCCTAAGGTACTGCGAGAGCTCCAACAGAACTGAATGAAGGTCTTCCAAACCAACCAACCAACCAACCAACCAACCAACCAAACCGACAATATCCTGTCTCCTGGGCACATTAATAACTGCATCCTAAACATGTTTGTATCACTTAAATTTGCCTGTAAATCTGACAACAGAAAACATCTCTTAAAGGTGGAGGAAAAGGATGTTGAGAGATGAAAAACCACTAGGTGGCAGCAGGTGACCAGCATTCCACCTGCCAGGGCTTAGAGCAGGTGGGGAGCAGAGAAAGATGACACAGTGGATCTGCAAAACAAAATGGCCTGCCCAGAGCCTTCCCACTAAGTGGGCGTGCAGACGGGAGTTACGGATGGCACAGCCACTGCGGGAGGGATTCAGGCAGGATGAGATGTATATTTCACAAGGACCATGGGGCAAACAACAAATTCATCCGCCGTACAGAAGTGGGCTTTTTGGTGACGTCTTTCATTCCGTTATGGCAAATGGACCCAAACTGCCTGTGATCCCTTCAGAAGAAATGACACAACTTCAAAACCAGAAGGGAAAGCCTCATCTGCTCCCCGTCCACATTTGTGAACTATGGAAAGGTAGCTGGTGTTCTGTGAACCCACCCACAGCAATTTCCTACAGCTACCGCATCCCTGAGGAGAGAATGTGTGCCATCCCTCATAAGAGCTCTAAAAATGGCACCTCTGTGTGGAAAAGTTATTTTCCATTTCATCACCAAACTGAAATATTTTAGTGTGCAGTCCAGTCCTTCCAAGTTTTGAGGGAAGAGCTAAGACCCAAATGTTATCACGGTTCCATTAACAACCCCAAAGCCTGCCAGGCTGCAATTAATACTCCTAGGAGCTATCATCTGACCCAAAGTCAGTCTGCCTAAAATTCTATTTTAATCTCTTCTACACAGTGTGCCTCTTGGATTTCCTAACTCTGCACACAGGAGACCCTTAAATGTCACAGCTTTTCCTTTGTTGGTCAAGGAATATATACAAAAGTGTATTGATATTATTGTATACAACAATGTCACTTCTGTTCATATGCTTATGATATGTTAGAAAGCAGTTGGATCAAATTTGTTCATTCACAATGTAACTGAGATCAGCGAGCTAAAACGAATGCTGAAAACAAATTTTCAGTGTTACATAATCAATATGACTTTTGAGATGTGAACTCTGCTCAAAGGAATGCCAGATGTTCACGGATGCTGTGGTTTATATGTAAATCTGTTCTATTTGTGTAAGATGCTTTTTCTTCTACCTTAGTTAAAAGGAAGCATCAATTTGTTGAAATATATTTCATCTGACTATTATTGGAAGAGGAATGATCTTGATTCAATTTCTCTCCACAGTTCTAGACCCAAATTTCATTTCTCTGCCATCTGAATGGCTCACCAGTAACTTACCCTACCTAGCATGACGCCCAAGGGAACTTATTTTCGTGTGTGTGTGTGTGTGTGTGTGTGTGTGTGTGTAAGGGAAGAGCAGGGGAAGGGAGGGGAGGGAGAGGAGATCATTGTTTTCCTAATGTCCCAGAGTTGAAATTTCTGGCTGTCTTTTGTAACCCGCTCTCAATCGCTACTCTGATCCCTTTGCATTTAATTTCTCTTCCCTTTCCTATTTCTACTCCATGATTCAGGCCTTACTGACTTTGGACTGGACTGTTACTGCACTTCCAATATGGCTTCCCCGATGTTTCCCCCTCCATCAGTCCTGCACGTGATCCCCAGAGGGACCTTTCTGAAATAGAGCTCTGACTTTGCTATGTCCTTGATCAAAAAACCTCACTGGTCTCCTCATCAGGCCGGCAGTAACTGTCAAATGTGAAGACACTTCAGAGTCTCCCCCTGTAGCTTTGTGACACGCATATTCTCAAGCTCCATCCACAGAAGTTCTGAATCTAGGTTGGACCCAGGAGCTTCCATGAAAAGCCAGGGATCCAGGTTTCTGTTACATGATCTTCCAATCTCGGTAAATACAGGCCCCACAGACATCGAGCAGACATGCCGGGCTGAGTGTGGTCTCAGATATGGGCAGTCACCAAACAAGCGGGAATGGCGTTACCCAGAAATGAGATCTGATCTAGCATATTGCACCCCACTCTCCTGCCAAAGTGGATGATCTGCAATTCTCCAAGGACACTTTGCGCCTTCCTGCTCCTGAGACGGGCTGGTTCACAGGCTCCCTCTGCCCGGGAGCCCCCCAACCCCTGCCAGCCTCCACTGATGGAACCCCACCTGTCCTCCAGGCCATCCTGGTTCAGTTTAACAAACCATTTGAGACCCCACTACACACATGGCCCCGCCCTGGGCCTGGGAGCACATGAAAAATAACTTATTTCAGGTTAAATCTTCTTGATCCCTGGGGCCCAGAGGAATCTCTCCTTTGGGTAGGTTCACCCGGCACCTGGGAGTCATCTGTTTTGTGCTATACACATACTCATAGGTTTGGCTTCGTGAGATTGGAGCTCCTCGTCTGCCCTGTGCTGTGCACGTCTTACCCGTGTGCGGCCTGCCCACAGAGTCCTCCCCACTGGACGTTCCCCATTCTGCCTCCTACCTCACTCTTGGGCGGGGCTACTAGTCTCAGGCTAGTATTGACATACTAAAGATGCTTTTTCTAGGCCAGAAACAAGACTCACCTCGGCTCCTCAAGAAACGCAATATTTAAAAGAAGAAAATTTCCTTTTTCATAATTTAATTGGAAAATTGATGAAATATTCTTAAAAGGCTATGTATTTTACAGAAGTTTTCAAGAAGAATCTTAACACCGAGATTTAGACAACTGGGCTGTCACAAAAACATTTCCGACAAAACGACCTTATCGCCTCACGGTGGGTGATCAGCTGTCTACAAATGCACGAACTACATAAAATTTTGGAAGCGATTTTGAGATGTCGGTGAACGGTGGCCACATTCCATTTTTCAGGAAAGTAAGAAGTCTAATTGATTTTTGCCCCCTGTGGACTGCTACTGAGAGGAACATTCTATTTTTAACGAGACATGCTGGGTTGGCATCTGAGGTGGTACAAGCTCAAGTATCAAATAGGTGATAGAAAATAACACTTTCCATCATGGAGACTTCTGGACCTTCTGCTCATGAGAAGAATGTGAACGTTGCTTCTTTATAGTCCCAACTGGGGAGATTTAAGAAGTGAATTACTGACAGCAGGAGAACCCAGAAAAATTACTATTCATGATACTAGAAGGTGAAATCATTCTATGATAAATCTTCATTGCATAACAACATATATTACCATAAAAGATGGACCTGCCCTAGTGACTGGGGAGTAATTAAACTGCTCATTTCAATAGTGGGACTTGATAGATGCTTTCAATAAGAACCTCACAGAAGATTGGTAACATTCAAGGAAGGATCTTTCGTTCCTGGATCAGACATACTTTACCTCTGAATTATTCTTTCGCGCTTCTAACTACAGTTGAATAATAGGAAGATAATTTTAACCCTGTTATTCTGGCTATTAGTTTTCATTTACTGAGATTAAAGGCAGACTTCCCATTTACCATTGGGTCTTGCCATTTACTTCCTTCAATTTGATGTGTCGCTGAGCCCTACACAGGAGCATGGTGCTCGGGCTTTTAAAGAGACGAGCGCAGGTAAACTTTCTGGGTCTGGATGGAGGGGCGCTAAGGGTCCATGGATGCCCAGAATGGGCAGAACTCTAACTTGTATACAGTGGGTGCTCAATAAAGAGAGCAGGAGAGATCACCATTGAGGAAGGGCCCCGTCGTCGGCAACACGTAACAGGTGCCTGGCACTCACCATAGCTTCTTGACGATCCTCTCCTCCTCGTGTAGGTATTTCTGTCTCTCTTGTTCCACCAGGACGCGCTGTCGCTGTACGGGGTCCTCCAGCCTCTTCATCGTTTCAATCACTTTGCCACTGATTTCCAGCTCAGCCTTCTTCATCATCGCCCTCAGCATCTCCTGGTTCTGCAGCTGTCGGACAAAAGAAATCAACCTCAATTGGCTCTGCCTGCCTGACAGAGTATACAACTGACTGCCTGAGTCTTCAGAGGCGGGTCTGGGGAAACAGCCCTGCAGCTGAGTATTTATTTCAGCGAGAAAGGGAAGGAAGGGACGATTGTATATAATATCATTACTTCAACTGCCATCTGAGGTTTGGATGCCAACTGATAACAAGACGTTCGTGTCTATGTCTGCAAAAAAAAAAAAAAAAAATAGGAGCCTTTCTAGACACTGGTCAATGCCTCATGGACATCAAGCATAAACTCTCATTGACATGTTTTTATAGGGAGCAGCTGAAAGCACCAGCTTTGGAGCCACTTGTTTTTGATGGTTTTGTAGATCTGTAGATGTGCCTGGGAATCATTTGCAAGCCCCGAACTGAGACACAGAACTGAGCGTGTGATAATGCAAAACCCAGTGGCCCAACCCACCCTCCCTCCTTGAACCCATGTGACCTTAGAAACATCACTTTCTCTTCCTTTGTGCCAGACTTCAGCTGCAAGAGTGGAACCTTTAGGAATATGGTTTACGGTGTTAGGAGAAGAACATCTGTAACATTAGGAGAGGTACTCCCTGCACCAAAATATTTCTTCCTGCCTACTCTAGCCTCCTCCCATCATAGTGACTGAAATACCCTTATTACTTGGTCTTTTAGATCTCCAAGGCTTTTTTTTTTTTAAAGATTTTATTTATTTATTTGACAGAGAGAGAGACACAGCGAGAGAGGGAACACAAGCAGGGGGAGTGGGAGAGGGAGAAGCAGGCCTCCCGTGGAGCAGGGAGCCCGATGTGGGGCTCGATCCCAGGACCCTGGGATCATGACCTGAGCTGAAGGCAGACGCTTAGCCCACTGAGCCACCCAGGCGCCCCCCAAGGCTTTTTTTTAAACCTTTGACCCTCTTCACCCATTTCTCACACCCCTTCCTCTGGCAACCACCAATCTGTTCTCTGTATCTATGGGGTTTTTTTTTTATTCCACCTATAAGAGAGGTCACATGGTATTTGTTTTTCTCAATTTGACTCAATTTGACTCATTTCACTTAGCATTATGCCTTCACAGTCCATCCATATTGTCACAAATGGTAAGATTTCATCCTTTTTTATGGCTGAATAATATTCCACGGTATATACACACCTAATTTTTTTATTTTTAAATTTTTATTATTGAAGTAAACATCCAATGTTATATTAGTTTCAGGTGCACAACACAGTGATTCAACAATTCTATACACTCAATGCTCAATACAGTAAGTAAGTGCAGTCAACGTACACTATTATGACAATATTATTGACCATCCACCCATTGATGGACACTTTTGTTTCCATATTTTGGCCACTGTAAATAGTGCAGCAATGAACATGGGAGTGCATATATCTTTCTGAGTTACTGTCTTTGCTTTCTTTAGATAAATACCCAGAAGTGGAATTGCTGGGTTATATGGTAGTTCTATTTTTATTTTGAGAAACCTCCATATTGTTTTTTACAGTGGCTACACCAATTTACTCTCCCACCAACAGTGTATGAGGGTTCCTTTTTCTCCACATCCTCGCCAACATTTTTTATTTGTTGTCTTTTTGATACTAACCATTCTGACAGGTGTGTGGTGATATCTCATTGTGGTTCTCATTTGCATTTCCCAGATGATTAATAGAGTTGAGTATCTTTTCATGTAGCTGTTGGTCATCTGTGTCTTCTTTGGAAAAATATCTATTTAGATCTACCCATTTTTAAAAACTGGATTGTTTGGGTTTTTTGGTATTGAGTTATACATACTCTGGATACTAACCTCTTACTAGATACATGATTTGCAAATATTTTGTCCCATTCAGTAGGTTGCCTTTTCATTTTGTTGGTGGTCGCCTTTGCTGTGTAGAAGCTGTTTACTTTGATGTAGTCCCATTTTTTTTGTTGTTGCTTTTACATTTGGTGTTAGCTTCAAAAATTCATTGTCAAGACCTATGTCAAGGAGCTTACCGCCTATGTGTTTTTCTAGGAATTTCATAGTTTCAGGTCTTACGTTACAGTCTTAAATCCATTTTAGAGTTAATTTTTCTGTTTGGTGTAAGACGGTGGTCCAGTGTCATTCTTTTGCATGAGGCTGTTCAGTCTTCCCAGCACCATTTATTGAAGAGACTGTTCTTTCTTCATTGTATATTCTTGGCTCCTTTATCATGAATTAATTGACCATATATATGTGGGACCATTTTTCTGGGCTCTGTATTCTGTCCCATTGATCTCTGTGTCTGTATTTATGCCAATACCATTCTATGTTGATTATTATAGCTTTGCAATATATTTTTAAGTCAGGGAGTGTGATGCTTCTAGCCTTGTTCTTTCTCCAGATTGCTTTGGGCTATTCAGGGTCTTTTGTGGTTCCACTTTGGATCAAACCCAAACCCTGGCTACTATGAGACTTTGGCATGTTACTTAGCCTCACTTGGTCTCCATTTCTTTATCTTTAAGGATGAGGATTCACCTCCCTTACCAGAGCTAGTCTGAGGATTAAAGGAGATACTGCTTGATATAGAATAGGTACTCAACAAATGTAGATTTGGCTCTGGACTATTTCAGTGTATCAGCTAAAAGAGAATCTGTGTCTGTCTTGTTTATACAGGTCCATATACCCAATATCATGTAACCACAGGCCACTAAAACATAGTACTTGATGTTGATGGTTGCAATGATAATGATTCCAGATGAGCTCAAGGCTCTTGGCAATTTACTATCTTTCCCTGGATTTTATGTAGGCTGCTTGCATGCATAGTATCACAATATCCATATAATTTTCCATATAGTTTCCAGAGCACTCTTGTTTCTTACCCCAGAGAGTATACGATCTGTGGTTTGCATCTGGCTTCACAAGAATCTAGTCAAATACCTGAATCCTGTTTCTAAGTCCTGTTATTAAGTATTTCTCTGGGGCAGGACAGTTTTCTGATAGCATATCCATCAAGTGAATTTATTCAGTCAGCCTCAAAGATAGTAGTTACATTATACCTATTATATTCTACCTAAGGTTTCCCTGAAATTTCAATTAGCTGTTATTGGTTTGTTTTGTTTTGTTTTCTGGTTTCATGGACTGTTGGACAACTATCATATATCACCTCCTGGGAGTGACGTCTTTGTCAGTTGTTCATTATTTGTGCAAATGCCATCTGACCATGCTCATGCTACCCTCAACTCAACACTTCATCATGTCATCCGGTTTTGCTGAATAAAGATAAAACATTTCAACACGAGCAACAAGCAGAGCCACCATCCTGTTCCAGCACCAGCTCTGTACTGATTACCTGGCCATCCAGAAAGAGATTGCCTGCGTTCAGTTTCCAGTTTTACCCCTTAGTAGCCATGTGACTGCGGGCAACTTATTAATCTCTCTGTGTCTATCCATAAGAAGGGGCAATCATCGTTCATATCTCATAGGCCAGTAATGGAGATTCAGTGAGGAAATAAAGTGCTTATCACAGCGTCTGGCACAAACCTGGCCCCGGGGGTGGGGCCTGCAGTTTTGTCTGGGAGGGAACCAAATAAAAATGTGCCACTCTTGGGTTACTCCTCTGAATGACTCATAATTATGCCCTCAGTGCTTTTGCTAATAATGTCTTTTTATTGTGGTCTTAAAAACAGCCAGGATACTGCAGAAAGTCACCACGTATGGAAACAATGCACGGAGGGCGAGTCCCTCCCTTGCTCTCTGCAGCTGCAGCTCTGCCTACGAAGCACAGGGAAGTCTGGCCCTTTCCCACATCACCCGTGTCCGCACGTTACAGGTAGCCGGCAATCCCTGGTCTAGCCACACCATCGTCCTTTCTGTCCTTCTGACTGGCTAGGCTCCTTTCTGCCACAGGGACTTTGCACCTGCAGTTTCCTCCATGTTGTTAATTTTTGCTCTCCACAGAGCCTCCAGGACCCAGGGCCGCTCACAGCAGGTACTTGATAAATATTGATAAATGCATGAATTAGGCACTAATGCTGATAATAATGAACAAAGAAGAAATTCCTTCCTCGATGGTAGACGTAAGGGCTGACCCATGGGCTCAGATATGCCTTGGACTCAGCTCTCACTCCTGCCCTGCTCTGACAGCAACATTGACAGCTACCAAAATGACACGCTTAAATTCAGTGCCATGGGTCAAATCCCACGGAGCTATTTCCTTCGAAGAGGTGGGGGGATGCGGGGTCACAGGTATGCATGGAATAAATAAGTAGATGATTAAGTGTGCTGAAAAGTGACTGACACCTGGGTCCTATCCCCCTGAGAGATTCTGATTTAATTGGTCTACTGTGCAGCCTGGGCATGGGGAATTCTTTCAAATTCTCAGATGATTCTGATGTGCCACAAAGGGTAAGCATTACGGCCTAAGAAAAGGACTCTCCAGTGGATAGATGATGTCACCATGCCATGAGCTCTGTACACAGCTCTCTGTCCCGAACCCTCCCGCCAAATCTCACAGACAAGCTCCAAAAAAGTTATGGTCCCGTTAGCAGTGGGTATTTACAGTGGCTATTACGCTGGAAATTATTACTGGGATATTTAAAATTCTTAAAATTGGAATCTGGAAGATGGGCAAAGTGAAGTCCCGAGAGGTTACGTGACTTGTTCTGGGTCCCTCGGTAATTAAGGGTAAAATCAGGGTAAGAACCGAGTGTTTTGAATTCAACCTGGAAATTTTTCCAGCACCCCAAGTTGCTCCTCTCACAAGGCAGGGACGTGTCTGTTTTATTCCCAGCCACAAGCCCAGTTTCTGGCCCACAGTAGGTACCGAACACATATTGGCTGTACACATGAATCTCAATCGAACCTTACTCATAAGCCTACAGACACAGCAGAAGAACACAACTGTATGTAATATTCGAGTTATTGGACTGGTAACATGGCAGATTGCATTCAAACTATTCCACTTGAAGAGGAGGTGTGCCTAGCATTCTGGGTTACATGATCCTCCTTCCAGAAAGAGGGGCTCACCAG